TTTTTTTGGTACAAAAATCCCATGTTAATTAGGTAGTTGCTTCGTAGCTATCCTGTTTTTTTCGGCTGGCATAGTAGAGGCCGAATATTATACAGTAACTAGTAACGGTGGGCACATGTTAATATTTCACTGTTTATGTAGCATGTAGTGCTGTAAACGAACTGAATCGAACCGAACCGAGCTTGGACTGTTCGAGCTCGTGTTCGTTTACGTTCGAACAGTGTTTGTGTTCGTTCGTTTATTTTTCGAGCAAAAAATTGTGTTCGAGTTCGTTCGTTTAATTGTTCTTCAAAGTTCGAGTTCGTTTGTACTCGAATAATTTAATACATAAAATTTTTTAAATATGTTCAATTAACTGGAAATTTGTTCGTCCGAACTCGAAAATAAAAGAATAAAATAAAAGAATAAAGCACATATTATTTGTTAAAAAATTGTATATATATAATACACATTGCAGTACCATGGTATATGATTTAAATTTCAACCGATCAAAATGCCAATGATTTAAATTTGAACACACCTATGCGTTTGACCAAATGTCTAGATGATTTAAAATTGAGCACATAAAAAATTATTTAAACTTGAACACACCAAAAATTTTATGTACTTTTTATTTATTAATATATTGAAAGTGATATTTAATGACTGTTATATAAACTATTTTAATATATTTGCAATGAATAAAAGTTTGAATGAATAATTTGTAATGATATTCATAATGTTTGTGATTTATGAGACACGAACACATAACTCCATACATATTTGCCAGAGGACGGCTTAATTATTTTCTAGACTTAACGTTGATTAAAAGAGGTAGAAAATAGATAATAACATTATTATTTTTTAGACTTAAACAGACAAGATTGTGAAAATAACTTATTTAATATATTTGTTCTGTGCATCGCACGGAGTACGTACTAGTTGTAATTGATGTGTTGACATTATGAATTGAATTGGGTATATATACATTTCTGGGCCAATTTTAACCCCCATTATTTCATTCGGCAACCAACAAAGACACGCGTATAATAAAGGAAGACTTTCTACCAAAAAATCTTCCCCTCCCCTTTCCGTTTAGTTCATATTTTTTTCTTCTTAAAAAACTTAATTATAAAAATATTTACTAAATTAGGCTTTGTTTGAGAGCACTTGTTCTACAAAAGTCCATCTGAAAAATGGGCTTTTCATTAAGTACATTTACAAATGTCCTTACACAATTTTCAAATATGTTTGGTGAATCTCATTTTAAATAAGTGCTTTAGTTACTTAAATAATAATATTGGGAAGTAATTGTGAAATAGGTTTGAGAAGTAGCTAATTCCCACTTCTCCAAAATGGACTTATTGGGAAGTGACTTTTTTCAAAAGTGCATTCAATATAAATCACCAAACACCCTAAAATCATTCAGATGGACTTTTAAGTCTAGAAGCCCATTTCAAAAGTGTTTCCAAACACACACTTAGTATCCTATGCCCGTCTCATTTTACATGATACGTGTAAACAAAGATAGTTATAAAAAAACTACATATAAAAATATATTTTTATTTCTTGATGAGCAAATTTATGCTTTACTGCGATGCACGGGGTGGAAAAAAAAATTAATTAAATATTATGAAATTATTTAAGATAATATGAAATTTTATTTTCTACAATATATTATTTAGTAATAATATGACATTTATTTATTTACTATTATTCTTGATTTCTATTTTTATATGCATTTTTTAGTTTCTGAATATTTAATATATAAATTTTATTATTTATAAGTTTATAAAATATTATAAATGTATTATGTATAAGATCATATGATAGTTGCATACAAATTACTTGTATGTACTTATAAAGTTGTCGTTTACCATATTCTTTTTAACAATTCGTAATTTGCACATTGTTTGATAATTGACCAACGTTTAACCCATAATATTTATCTTCCACTTTAATTATTAAGTGTATTAAATGTTAAAAGATCTGATAAATAAAACTAATTTTTTTTAATCCTTATGAAACACACAATTTTTTTTGGTTAAATATTTTTTATTTTTTTTATGTATATTTATTTCCTTAATTTATTTTTTCAACCTATATAATGAGTTACATATATTATCTATTCGCTTTTTTAGATATATTATATATTTTTATAATTACCAAGTGCTATAATTTAAATTATTATGCTTTTTTATTAACATATTTTTCATTTATAAAATAGTATATACAAAAAAATATATATTTTTAAAAATTGAATAGCTTTTTAATGTACATATATACTTTAAGGTGAAATTTATGAGCATATTTGTTTATATAAATTTTTAAAAAAATTCCAACACTTTAACTCAACCATTTTTTTATAACTCAACTCTAACTCAACCCCACTATTATCCATATTATCAACACAATTAATCAATGATTCATACACACCACATCAACCTTAATTCACTATTCATCACTCACATTATTTTAACTAATCATCGCTTCAGATCATCTCTCTTTTACTTTTACATAACTAATTTTAATTATTTTATTTTAAATATTATTTTAATCTATCACTAATAACTAATCATACCATTTTTGTCAAAATTAATCAAACCAAACAAAAAAATCCAAACAGAACAAAAAATTTCTATAAACAAATACTCGTCCATCAAATTTTATTTTTATTAGTATATTATTTAACTTTTTAATAGTATTATTAGTGCATATGATATATTCAATGGGGATGTACTTTTTATTGTGAAAATGACTACATTTTAGAAACTTTTATTAATATTTTAAATTATTAATTAAGTTATTATTTTTTAAACATAGTTATCCTGTTACTTTATTAAATATTTCAAGTACTTATGAATAGTGAATATAATTAATTAAATTAATACCTACAACCATAGATGATAATATATTTAATCAAATCAATTTCCATAATAATTTTTTAAATTGTATCAATAAATTACTATTAAATTAATATAAGATCTTATTGAAAATATATCTAATAAATCTACGATCAAAATTTCAATTTAAGCCAATTTGTAGTTAACGAGTAACAGTCATTGAGTGTATAAAAATTAATTATGTTTTTCATCCATAAAATTTGCTAATAAATAAATATTAATTAAATACCAAATATAGACGAAAAAATTCCCGCCCCAAAACCATGTTAATTATGACAATAAAGATTGGTCTATTATATAGATATAGATTCAAACAAGTTGACCCAACCTCTAGTCCTAACTTAGGTTATTTTTTTATAAAACTAGCTGGTAAGCTAGCTTATAGCTTATCAGTAATTTTTGAACTTTTTTTTTTGTTTTGTTTTTTTTTTTTGGGCGTATGCCGCTTAAAAGCGGCAAGCACACGGTATTCTTTAGTAAAAGGCGAAAGAATAGTTCGCTCTGTGCTTACCGCGCAGCTGCGTGAGTAATTTTTGAACTTATAGCTTATAATTTATAAATAAAAAATTAGTTTATATGATAAAAGTGGTTGGTAAAATTAGCTGAAATAAAAAATTCAACAAACTTATTTGAAAAACTACTTAAACAAGCTTATAAATAAATACTAGCTTTTTGAAAGAAACTCGTCTCTACCAAACGAAAGTTATTTAAATATAAACTAACCAAATAAGCTATAAAGTAGCTTATCCATAATTTTCATATTCCAACTCCAACTTTCTCCCACCTCCTCTGCACTGCTCTCACCGTTCTCTGGTTGTTTAACTAGATTTTAAGTCCAAGTTCGAGTCCATATTAAACCTCTCTCTCTCGTTCTCTCTCTCTCTCACACACACAAACTGTGAGAGAAGGCGAGTTCTGTGTGTTTGTGTCTGAGGTACAGATCTATGATCTTAGTCCTTTAAACTTGAACTTATTCATGGTAAAACTGTATGCTTTTGTCCTTCAAGTCAATGCTTGATTTGCCCTTTTTTAGATCTTTCACATTTTTCTGAATGAATACCTTTTTTTCAGTGAGTTTTGGGTTAGAATTTCTGGGTCTGTGAGAAGTCAAAATCTTGTGAACTCAGTTCCCATTTTCGCTTTCTGGGTCTAATTGGTTGATTTTTCCCCAAAATTTAGGGCAATCCTTTGTTTATTTTCGCAGATCTCTGAAGAAATTAAAGAGCTTTGTTCTTTCTTACCGTCCTTCTACAGGTTTGCACCTTCTTCCTCAGATTCGTATCGTTTTAGTTCTTTTTTTTTGTGATTTTTTTCAATGGGTTTTCTTCTCTATACAGTAAAGTTGTTCATAGCTATTGAAATGCAGGTCCATATAACAATGCTAAGGTTCCAATAATGTGATGGTGCTCTTAAACTCAGCTCGATATTTAGATTGTGTAATGAACCGAATTAAGCATCGAATTGCAATGTCGTTTTGTTAAGTTTTATCAGCGTGTTCGATTTGGTTGCTATGTAAGAGTAGCCAAACTTTGTATAACAGAGGGTTGGGTTGTGTGTAGGGAATAGTCACTTCAAATCGAATTCTCCTTAGATGCATCCATTCAGTGAAGAGCTGGTTAAACAGAAAGGCTCACTCGATTTCTGCATAATTGTGTTTGAAGTAGCACTTTTTTTCTGTCTAATACCGTTGAACAAGTGAATTCTTCTGTGTCTGAAAACACACATTTTTTAGCTGGTTCACTCCCTTTTCATTTTGTTTGCTAGTGGGAAATACTTGAACCATGTTTTACTTTTGGAACCTTCAGGAGCTGTTATCTCATGCGAATTTTACTTCAACACATTCTTTTTTTTCCATGATCTCACATTTCTTGTGCCTTTTTCTACGTCGTTGCAATCAGTGATTTCATTTTTTAAAGAGCTATTTGTCTTGTGCAGCTAATTCCACATTCTTAAAAAGGCCCATAAATGTCATTCCGAAGTATTGCTCGGGATATAAGAGACAGTTTCGGGAGCTTATCACGAAGGAGTTTTGACGTGAGGCTCGTGGGCCACCACAGGGGGAAATCACAAGGCTCCTTTCATGACTTGAATGATCAGCCTTTTGTAGTTCAGAATAGCCAATGGGCCAGTCTCCCTCCTGAGCTGCTTTATGATGTCATCAGGAGATTGGAGGAGAGTGAGAGCACGTGGCCTGCCCGGAAACACGTGGTGGCGTGTGCCGCAGTCTGCCGCTCATGGAGGAGCATGTGCATGGAGATTGTTAAGTGTCCCGAATTGTGTGGGAAGCTTACTTTTCCCGTATCTTTGAAACAGGTTAAACTTTTGGCCTTTTTCTGCCGACTAATCTATTTCAGAAACTATTCATATATTATGTGGCGTATTTCTGCTTATATATGTCGGAGTAGTTATTGTTGTGTCCTTTTATATTTGAGTGAATTTTGAGTCCTTTTTTTTTGTATGTGCAGCCGGGGTCTCGTGATGGGCCCATCCAGTGCTTCATAAAGAGAGACAAATCGAATTTGACGTATCATCTGTTTTTGTGTCTTAGTCCAGGTGAGTGCTCAGGGTTTGGTGCTTTGCCTTAGGTTGTTTTGGTCATATTCTCTTTTATATGTGGGCATGTTAATACTCTTACACTGCAATTGTGTATTTTTTCTTCAGTGGTATTTTTTTTTTT